GTAGGCACATCTGAAATAATTAACTTGAAAGGTAGATCACTTATAATTATTTTCATATCTGTTTATTTTTTCCACTGTCAAATTCTTGCAAGCTCTAACTTCAAGTGCTTGGTTTCAGAATTTTAATTCATGCCATAAAAATGGAAACTGCAAAAATCACAGTACCCACATACATTGTTCAACATGGTTGAGTTCCATTTTCCATTCCAAATTCATTCTTTACCTTAAATACTTCTACAGCCTTCTTAAATTCTTCATGCCTAAGACAAAATGGTATGATTCATGTTTTTTTAAATGCAGTGAAATGACTCAGCTTGAGTGTTCTCCAGACAGTCACTGTGGTAAACCTAAAATGAAACAAAGCTTGACTCCTCAGTTATGTGTGTTTTTAGCATCTAAAACATTGGCACCAGATCTCGAATTCATAATTCACTTCATAATTATTTCAATTTAAACCACTTTACATGTTGAAAGGCTCATAAGAAGTCCATATTCATCAAAGAAGAGGTTGTAACCAGTTTGTTCAGCTTGCACATATTAATGAAAAAGATGTGTCAGTGTCTCCAAAGCTGAAGAAATAGATACAGACTTTAAATTCTGCTGTGCTGTATAGTTTAATTCGAAGGGTTTTAAATAGAATCATACGATCTCCAGTGTAATCTTCATAGCCCCCGAATTTATTGTTTGCCTAAGTCTAATGTATTTTCTCCTTGTTTTAGGGCTGTGAAATCCAAAGACTGTTACATTACAATACAGAAAGTACTTTTTGGTTTGATTTTGCTGGAGTCTAATAGCTGTGCCCATTACTTAGGTATCCACAAAGCATTACAGTGTTTCAGTTCAGCCAAATACAGAAGACATTTTCAATCCTAAGCATAAGAATTTGTTCCCACTACTGGGGGGGTAATTTTTTAACACTCAGACTTAATAAAAATCTAAGCAGATAGCAGCGGAGTTAGCAAATGTAATTTATTTTTTTTTTTATAATACTCAATGTAGTTTGCCCCAAAAGGGAAGTTAATTAAAGTAACTCATCCAACTTGATGTTGAGTAGTATTTGTATTGTTTTGTTTGTAACGTAACTTTTCAGTATTTAAGATGTCTATTAAAAGATTCTTCCTAGTCTTTGTTAGATCCTGAAAGAATTGGAATTTGATTTCTAATGTAAATTTTGGGGTACTTCTTTTAAAGATACTTATATGGATCTTTTCACTTTATGATGTGAATTTGTTTACCCTGGCCTGATTATCCACATGAAAAGAGATCTAATTACCTCTGGGATGAAGGCATGCAGCAAAATGTGCCAAGTCCTCCATACTGATCAGTGGTGCTGTGGAAGAAAACTCGGCTTCTGTGGGCTGGTTTCTGCAGCCACGTGAAGTGTGATTAACAGTTTCAGGTCATCCACTCTCACAGACAGCAACAGAATTTGACCTTACGACAAGGCAGGTCCGCCACAGGAGGATGTGGAGTTCCAGCCCTTCCTCTGCAGGATCTGTTTCCAACCTTGTACCCAAGTCATAAATACTCAGGAGGCAGAACACCTCCAACCCTCTGCATTGTAGCAATACTTCTCCTTCTGTACCCAGCTATGTGCTGGAGCTGGAGTGCGTATCAGTTGTGAAGATAGCATTTGCAGCCTAATCACCCATCTTTCCTGTCAGAGAAACTGGAGCTGGAGTGCGTATCAGTTGTGAAGATGGCATTTGCAGGAAAACACCCATCGGCCACACTAGTATAGAGTATATACATCTTGAAAAAAACCATAAAATTGCTGAGATGCTAAAAAGGCTGTTAAAACAAAGTTACTGATGTGTCACACACCCTGCTTTACCTCTTTCCTCCAACAAGCCCTTCCTCCTGGTCTCAATGCTGAGATTACTATAAATACAATAATACACATCTTTTTTGTTGTTGTTGTTACTGAATACTGTCTTTTCAACATTATTTGTATTTGTTGTATTTGACATTATTTGTTGAAAAGAACACAATGACTAACATGTTTTTGAAAAGACTAAAGTACGTTGGTGTTTTAAACACCTGCCAATCTGAAATGTATCATAGCCTTTTTTCCCTACTCTGGTGAATATTTTGTTTGGATACCTGCACATAGCAGGAGAATCTTGGTCTGTTCAACAAGTTTTTTATCTAAAAGAACTGGCCAGTTTTCATGATTTTGCAGTATTTGATAATGCAGATATTTACAATAAGTATTTTACTCAAGCGTTGTAGCAGCTCTTTTGGTTTTAGAGAGGAAGTGGGTTATATAGGCTTTGAGGAATATGTCAAATCAGTTTGAAAGGGTAAAAAATCAAGTTTTACCTTAAAAAAAATTGAGGTTGCGCCAGCCATCACAGTAGGCATTTCTTTTCTTGATGAAACTGCATGGAATACCTAACTGTCAAACTTTACACAAGTCAGCTAACATTTCCAATGTACTCTTGTATCAAAATCCAATGAAAAAACAAGACAGATTTCTTCTTTTTCTTTTTTTCCTCCTGCTTGGCTGCAAAGCACTGCCTCTCTCTGCCTCTGATTCCCTTACTGCTTTGTTTGTAAGTTCGGCATACATCAGTGTTGTTTCCTCTTTTGCCCCATCCTACCCTCTTTCCTTCTTCTTCTGCCTTTTAGGTGTTCAGTATGTTTTTGGAGACACTGGTGGATTTCATCCAGGTCCATAAAGAAGATCTGCAGGACTGGCTGTTTGTACTGCTGACGCAGCTGTTGAAAAAAATGGGTGCTGATTTGCTTGGGTCTGTACAAGCAAAAGTTCAGAAGGCACTTGATGTCACAAGGTAATAAGTTCAGTAAAACTCAAAGCTTAAGCATTTTGGTCTCCTAAATGACTCTTAGTTGAAAGGATGTGATTTCTTAATGCTGAACAATTAATGTGATACTACTTATCTGATTCCTAAATGGGCTATGTAGGATTTCTGTCTCACCTTGTATTCAGTGATGTAGTGTTTGTGTTTAAACTTCTTTACTTTTATTTAAAAATATTGCTGCAATTGTCATCTCTTGGTGTCAGCAGGATTTAAAGAGTTATGGCAATAATGGATTTGCTGTTTTCCCTCCACTCTCCCCTAACTTCAATAACAGCCTGATTCCAAAACTATCTTACATGATTTTGGGGGCCATTAGAGCTGCCCATGTCTGGCAAGATTTATTTCCAAATGGAAGCTAGATTTTTAAGTACAATTGGAGGGGCTCTGGGACCTACTTCTCACCATCCATTCTCTAAAGTGTGGGGCAGTCTTAAGCAGTCTAGGGCTCTGCTGAAGCTGTTTGTGTAATAGATCTGTTGTGAAATCTGGAGAAGGGTATGGTGAATGTTGTGAGGGAAGAGGGAATATTAATTGCTACCCTTCTTTTTTCCTGCTGCAGCAGGGCCCTTGAGGGTAATACCGTGAGTGTGACATGTGGGAGACCTGGAGGGGAACAGAAAGATTCAGAGAAGTGTGTGGGAGGGATGTGGTGTATACCTTTAGCAGCAGCACTGCATATTCATTTGAGGATGGCGTAGATTTAGAATCAGAACACTACCACATCACTGTCATATCATGCCTTATTACTTGCATTGTCTGCTGTAGCTATAATTGCTTCAAAGGAGACAACATTTTTAAATTTTGTCCTTCTCATGCTAGGTGAATATTTCTGAATGTCAGATACATTATCAATAAAACTGGTAGATTTTTTTTTCTTTTAGAAGTACAGGTGTTAAAAGAAAATGTAACTTAACACAAATTTGTTTTACAGGGAGTCTTTTCCAAATGACCTGCAGTTCAGTATTTTAATGAGATTTACTGTTGATCAGACCCAGACACCTAGCTTGAAGGTAAGAATTTTCAGGCCTGCATTACAAACAAAAATCTTAATTGCTAGATATTTGTTTGTCTTGATGTTTGAATTTGGAATGTTATTTTTGTTTTGTGGAAAAAAAATTTAAAAAGGTTTTCAATTAGTGGATTTTGTTTTTGTAAACTTTCAGACAGTCAAGCCAGCACTACAGGACCAGCTTCGCTCTTTTTGGAGCTCAAAGGTTTTTGTCTGAATTATTGTCTTTATTCTTAACCCTATGTCAAACTCTTACAGTGTTTCCAGTAATTTTTATTTGAATGCATTCGTATGCTGCTACTAACCTTTGCGAGAAACTTGAAGCATGCAGATGTTCGATTTTTAAACTTGTATGAAAATATTTGCTGCAAGAGAGATCTAATAAAACCACAGTACAGTAAAAAAAATGAGCAACAAAAATGTGGCCGCCTAACATCAAGCTGGTTGTGCAAACTCACTCTCTCAAGTCTTCTCTAATTTTATGTTTGTGATTTCCCAGTCATGTTTTCTTAGTTCATATTTATTTTTTTTCTATGTTCAGTCTGATAGGTCTTGAATTAATTCAAATTATTTTAATATTAATATGAACTTGAGTTACTGTATTAAAAATCGGCTCCCTTTGTGGTATAATTACTTTTCTGAAGTGGTGTGTAGCTTTATAATTGCACACATTTTTTGGCATTAGAATCTGTAGTCCACAGACCTGCCAGTATGATTTTAAATTAAAAATGTATTCTGTAGTACATTTACAGTTCCAAAGGGAGTTGATTTTAAGATAAATACATCAAATCCAAAGTGTTGTAAATGGGGAAATAACAAGCATATGATAACTGGCATTTTCTGCTCTATCCTGCACGAAATATTTTTATGTAGTGTGATACTGCACAAGAATATGACTTTTCCCAAGTTACGTTGAACATGAAGTCACATGAATGTGCCTTTTTTGTTTACAATAAAGTAAAACTTACATTTTTTAACTTTTGAGGACAGTTGATACGTTGACCACTGTTGCTGTGTTAAAAAGGGACTGCTGTCATTTATTGAAGACAGCAAAATGAGGTAGTAATATCAGTTTGTTGTTTAAATCCTTGGAACAAATTGAGCTTGGTTTTGTTTTACTTGGTTTTTCTCCCCAGGAAGGTGAATTTGATGGTTGAGATGTTCTTTTTTTCTATACAGTAGTATAGCTGGTAAACACATACTGATTATGTTTTGAACTTTAGAGTTTAGATTTGAAACAAGACATGGACTTCTACTAGGCTGAGTTGAGACTAAATTAAAGAATATTCCTTATGTGATGTAGGAGGAGTTAAGAAATCTGAAACACTTAATGGGAAGACATTCTGAAAATAATTTTCAGTATTTGAGGGAGACTTCTGAAATCAAGATCTAAGTAAAAACTGCCTCGATCGAAGATCACTTTTTGTTTTGAAAGAACTATTTTTTGGGACAGTTAAGTATGTAACTGTTGAAGAGAAAGTAAGCTTTTTTTGAGAAGAAAGTGTTATCTACCCCTTACTTCCATGTTTGAGGTAACGACAACTTCAGGATCCAGGCAGCTAAGTTGTTGAGCATAAATTGCAGAAGTATCTATTTAATATCCACATTATTGAATGTTTTGTCTAAATCCCATCCTCGGTGCACCCAGCTGTCTGAGATTTAATTGACAATTCTGTAGCACTACTCTATTTCTTGAAGTCTACAGCTTTTTTTCTTACTCTGAGAAATGATTCTTTTGTTGCAAAGTGTGCTTTTGGGCTCATTATATAGAGAAACAGCATTCTCTGTGACAGGAAAAATCAGAGGAAGGATTTTCAGAATCCTTGAAGATGGTCAGATAAAAGAAGGGGATAATAGATCAGAAATGTGCTACGTGGAAGGATTCCCTTCTGCAAATGACCTTTCCCTCTGTTTTTCTTTCATAATCATGATCCTCTAGAGTAAACTGTCAGTGCTGTTCTTAGACTTGCAAACACACCTAAGTTTTGGACAATAAAAATCAAGCTTTTAGAGTCACAGAGGTGGATTTGAATAGCTAGCCAGCAAGAGGACCAAACAGAGAGAAGATACAATTCTTCTGACCTAATGCAAGGAGGATACAGCACTGTCTTGTGCTATGTACTTGTCTTTGTTTTGCTGCAATTTTACATATAAGTGTGGTGAACTGCTGAAACTCAGTTTAGAGGTGCCAGATGCATGTATCTATTTTGGTCAAATGGATGGATGGGCATAGGAGTCAAATAATAGACAGGATATAATCCATTAAGCTTATTTTCACAAGTGCAGAACATCCTTTCCAAAGGATGGGTGTTGGCCTGAAGTACACTTCAAATAATCACTTTAATTTTTCTCAGGTTGAATAGCAAATAGCTCACACTCAGTGAGAAATTAATTTAAGCATTGTGAACAAAGTTATATATAAGTTTCCAAATCCATCTTATTTATTAAAAATACTGATTTGTTGACAAAGGGTTTTGCTGCAGTTGATCAGAAGATCTTTTTTTTTCCCCTAAGTCTGTCTTAAAATTTCTGGATTCAGAAAACCAACCAACCCATGACACAGATTCACAGAGATGAGAGAGCTGTTCAAAATTAATCTTTCATGTATATATTAGTCATGCAGTTAAGTAATGGCAGAGATACGTGGCTCCTGTGTATCCAGTAATTTAGGGACACACCTGGGATGTGGCAAACTGAAAGTAATTTTAGACGGTTGCTTGTATTCAGTCTGAGCAAGGTGGAGTAGAGTCTCTTGCATCCTAGGAAAGCACTGTCAGAGGTGGACTTTTTGTTCTGGTTCAAATAAGGTAGCTTCTCTACATTCCTTCCTCTTTTTTTTTTTTTTTCCCTCCTTCCCTGTTACATGAAATGTTTTTTTTGTCTGACCTGGATGCAGCAAATGAAACTCTGTAAATCTCAGATTTTTCACAGGACAGGAAAACAATTTGCCTTCTGGCACTGACTGTGTAGCATCCTTGCGGTATTTCCTGAATCTCTTGAGGTAGTTGCACGTATTTTTGTGCCAGAATTTGTCATTTCATTACCTGTGAAAGATGTTTATGAAGCACTTTAGTCCAATTTATGTCTAATCTTTTTTATTTGTTTGTGAGTAATAGTGCTAACTGTGGCTTGATCTGTATTTCAGCTCATTTATTACAGCAGTGGTATTCTTAAAAAAATGTCTGTGTTATATGCTGTACAGGAAAATTGTCTCCGTGTTTATAGTCCAGCAAAAGTACAATGAATTCAACCTAGAAGAGGACAAAGACAGTTACGACATTATTATACAACCTCATAGACCATGGTTTCAGATTAATGGCAAATATTCATTGAAAATTCCTGGAGCTGCTTTCATTGCAGACACAATTGTTTGTCTCCTCACTTGGAGAGGTTAAATGGATTGTTGAAGAGGACTGTGCTAGACCTTTTACTTCTGAATCTCAACTTTGTAAATACTTACTGGAAATCATGGCAAAAATAAATCATAAGTAGATTTCCTGCTATTAGGGAGTTTACTTTGGGGTGGGTTTTTTTGTCCCTAGTAGCCCTTTGCTGTGCAGTGGTTCAATTTTGGAGAAACTAGAGAGGGGCTTCAGTCAGGAGTGTATAAAACTGACATGCTGCATAACGGGTAGAGGGAGTTAGTGGAGAAGGAGAATGGTCACCAGATAAACGATGGAGTAAAACAACTTTTCTATCCTCCTGGTAAATCCATGTCACTATCTTCTAAATATCTTCAAAGTGAAAGTGTGCATGTGGCCCCTTCCAAGTCTTTTGCAGAAATGCTGTTGCATACCTTTTTAGAATTTAATGGGAAGATTCATGCGGCTTATCCCCAAATATAGTGACTGCTCAATTCTGGTGTTTTGTAAAAGAATGCCAAGTGTAAACTACATAGTAAGAATCAATAGGAACTTTGTATTGGTTCATCAGATGATCACTTTTCATTTCAGTACTTGAAAAAAGTTCTTAATAATTCTGAATAATTCTTTTAAATCCTGATACTTCCTAACTATTCCGAGTACTTTTTCTTTTTGTTAAATATAAGCTTCTGCATATGCAATGATTTGTGTATCTTTTAGTTACTACCAATGAAAGGAAGATTTCTGTTAATACTTTAATTTCTGTGAAAAACTCATCTTGAAATGTTATGTCCATTTGTAAATTATATTATTGTGTAGGGTTTTATATCAGTACTGAAAATATGTTTAGTTTAATTGGAAAAAAAAATATCTTCTCTACTTTAGGGAATGAGTACTACTCTGTGAGCACAACTTGTTCTTGCAGCCTACCATTTTTATTGTCCACCTGACTCTGTTTCTCTTTGCAGGTCAAAGTTGCAATCCTTAAATACATAGAGACACTTGCACAGCAGATGGATCCAGGAGATTTTGTAAATTCAAGTGAAACTAGGTTAGCAGTGTCTCGAATCATCACCTGGACCACAGAACCTAAAAGCTCAGATGTTAGGAAGGTATGTTTGTTCATGGGTTCTTAGAACTGCAGTACCTTCCAAGTATTGTGGCAAACCAGAGAAGACAGTATTTCTTGCCTAAACAGCAACAAAATGATTCTTTAAAAACAAGCTTATTTTTTCTTAGATAAAAGATGCTTTTATATCCTTATCAACTGACACAATTTTTCTGTATAAAGTATCTGAAGTGGCAAAGCAAAACTTTGCAAAAAATTATTTAAGTAAAAATTTCAAATAAACACATCTTGAAACTCTCCATTAGGGTTTTATTTTTATGTTAACAAGCTGTTTATAGTAGTAGGAATAACTTTGTTTCAAGCACCATCTGGTATTAAAATCTATTCAATGCAAATTTTTAATATTACTTCAGGGACAGCTCTCTGTAATACTAATAGCATATTGGTAACAAAGTATAAGTTTGGTAGCAAACTCAGTTCAGTCTCAGTTGGATTTTCTTAAATCCTTTGTGTTTAACAAAAAACAGGTAAATAACTGTTGACCCTTTGACAAAAGAAGGTTTGTACATTAATAAGGTAATATGAAAGGTTTGTTCTTGTAGTGCTTCCAGTGCAAAACTCTCTGTTCCACATAACTGTTGTGAAGTGAAAATTAGTATTTGTGAGCTACATAGATACATCAGGTATTCAGAATAACCATGGGAAGTGTACTAATGCAATCTTTGGAAAGGGTTTTTAAATAGGCCTTCCAAGTATACAAAGGAAGCATTTTAAATTTTGTTTGCAGTTGGATGGAATAGAGTTTTGTTGTTCTGATTGTCACCAACCATTCTGTCTTAGCTGCCATTATCAGCATGCTGACACTTTTTGATGGCTAAGTAAAGATAGTTAATTCATGGTTCATCATAAGTGCAAGCATCTTTGATGCAGAGAAATAGCTCTTCTGTTTCTTTTTCTCTGTTTATATCTGCAGTTAGAGGAGTTGCAACAGTTAATTTGTTTAAAATTTCTTTTGCAATTTTTAATGACATTTGAGCTTGGGCAGCTTCATAATTTTTGGATGAAATGCCAGAACTTCCTTTCTTTATGAGAGAAGTTTTGTGGGAGAGAATTCGGATAAAATAGTGGGAGCTGTCTCACAAAGTGTGCGATGTGAAGAGAACAAAAATAAAAATAAGTTCCACAACTTCTTGATACCTTGTTGTTTTAATGTGATAAAAACAAACAACAAGGGAAAGTTCGCATTGGAGATAATGTTCCCGTTGTTCACTTCTTACGTAAGTTCACGAGTATGAGAAGGCAATAACAGATTATATTCTGTGGACTTTTCTTGCCTAGTACCATGTTCTAGTGACACATATAAGACCATAAAAGAGGAGAAGAATTGAAGCAGCACTATCTTCTAAATCAGTAAAGTTTTAGTACTAAGACACGTGGCAGGCTGTCTTATCTGATGCTTCATATCTCTAATAAGCATTTTTACGTCAATAAGTAACTGAATAATGGAAAGAATTGCCAGTGAGTTTTATCATCTGGAACATGTTAATTATATGAAGTTTGCTCGTTTTATTTTTTCTTTCCATAACACAGCTCTTAGAGGCAACTAACTGCCAAAACCCTTTAATAACTTGAAAATAAAATTTCACCATTAAGTAGTCAAAGGAGTTATTCTCTTTTAATGTTATGATTCTGAAGTTGGGCACTCTTAGTACAGTTCAGTGGCATGGGACTTCTTTCTGGGAGGTAAAATTCTGTGTTTCAGAACTTGGAAGAAATGTAATATTAGAATTCTTCTGGAAAGAATTAGAATCTTCTTAGAGTTCTTCTAAGAACAAAACAAAAAGAATATTTCTAATCTTTATTACAGACTTTTAAACATATTGTCTGTATGAGTGGACTTAAATCTCAAGAGAGAGAGCTTATGCTGAGAAGAAAAACAGCCAAATACTCTAAAATGTGGGTTTTGGCAAGGAAGAAAAAAATAGCTAATTGCATAGTTAAAAGTCTTCTGTGAATCAATATCAATTTTGAAACTTGAGGTTGATCTTCATTTTGGGCAGACTTTATGGTATCAGATTATTTTCTGATTTGATCCTGGACTGTCTATTGTGTTATTTTATTGACAATTTAAATAGGGTGTTATGTAGAAAACATGTTGATAACAGGACAGAAAAAGGAAGGTGGTGATTCCCAACGCATTGCTCAGTTGCTGAATTTGGTTTTTATTTGCTTTGTGTTAATTTTTGTTGAAAGACTGACCATAAAAAATAACAAGGAAAAGAGAAACATTAAAGACTGATTGTAGAGGGCATTCAGGCTGTTCATTTGAAGGGAAGGCTGTCAGAGGGAGAAGGGAATAAAAGACAAAACAGCCAGTCACGAGTGTGCAAAGATAATTTATGGCAATCTGACATGCTCGTATTTTTGTCATTAAACTTAATACTGAGATGTGTGCTGGTATGTGTGCTCTTACCTTGGCTTTCCACTTTTAATTAAAAAATGCTACAGTTCATTGCTCTGGAAGCAAAAGAGGGAAATAAATGTCTGAAAGAATTTTCTAAACTACTTGCTTAAAGTATATTGCTGCTTAAGCAAGCTGCCTGTCATTCTGTCTAGTATGAGGCACTGGTTCTCTCCAGTGCATGGCAGACCTTGGTGGTGAGCTCTATAAACTAGATGTAGTTGGTTAATCTTAGAATCAGAGTTTTGTATTACAAATAAACCACTGAACAATTCTGGAGAACTTACTCTCTAGACCTTCATTGCATGTGTTAGTTTAGTTGCTATGTTGACAGGTTTGTTAGACTATCCAGCAAATATTGATCCAACAGTACAAATATTACTGTCATGTAGTCAGCTTTCTTCTACTAGAGAGAACCCAACCATTGTATAATGTAATGTGTTCCTTTGTCAGTAAAGAGCTTTGGGGTTTACCAAGAAAGCCAGTAGTATCTTGGGAGGCATTAAGAACAGTGTGGTCAGCAGGTCAAGGGAGATTCTCTTCCCCCTCTACTCTGCCCTAGTGAGGCCACATCTGGAGTACTGTGTCCAGTTCTGGACTCCCCAGTTCAAGATGGATAGAGATATACCGGGAAGAGTCCAATGGCAGCCTACAGGGGCGATTAAGGGATTGGAACACCTGTCATACAAGGAAAGGCTAAGAGACCTGGCGTTGTTTAGTCTTGAGAAGACTAAGAGGGGACATTACTAATGCCTACAAAGGGCAAACGGCACCAAGCTACAACACAGGAAGTTCCACCTCAACAAGAGGAAAACCTTCCTTACTGTGAGGGTGACAGGGCACTGGAACAGGCTGCCCACAGAGCTTGTGGAGTCTCCTTCTCTGGAGACTTTTCAAGATCTGTCTGGATGTGTTCCTGTGTGATGTGCTGCAGCAGGGGGATTGGACTCAATGAACTTCAGAGGTCCCTTTCAACCCCTATGGTTCTATGATATGCACACAAATATATATATGCACACACATATATAAAAGCATGCTGTAGGATGAGGATGATGTTAAAGATGAACTATTAAAATTGAGGATGTGGGAAGTGACATCTAGTAGACTAGAAAATCCAGTACTTAGCAGTTTTCCTCTTCAGAATATGTAGTCAGCTAAATTCATTCTGTTGATATTTAGAAAGATAAAAGAACCAAGGGCAGAAAGGGGGTGGGGAAAGATTAACTAGTTTGGCTGTAGGATAAGTTATAAAGACTATCAAATGCTGTGATCACAACTCAAAATCAAGACTGTCTCATTCCAAATTAGAGTATCTGAGTTATTCTGAAATTTCTAGTGATAACTGCTCCTTTTCAAGCTAGTGTGTTGATTACCCATCATCTATAATTACCACTTGTAGAACTCAGGGAGAAGGAATTGCAGACTTGTTCCTGTCTGCTGTGTTCCATTTCTCTCAAGTTTGTTCAATATGCCAAATCTTTAAAAAGCCATTTTGCAAATTTCTTTAGTACCTTTTTTAGTAAGTAGAGATATGGGATCAGGAAGGTTGAGAAAAATGGTTTCTGAAAGACTGCTTGTTACAATGTTTTAATAAGGACCTGGATATATCAATATCTAAACTTCCAGTTTTCCAGCTAATATTAATTGCTTTTTTTCACGTGTTAACATCTTTATTCAAGCTTGCTCGAGATTTAAGTCATGTTTTGTGATTACCACTCATTATAGCATCTTTTGCTGATCAAATAACTTTACAAGCTGAAATTACTGTCATCTATCTGTATTTTCTTCTAGGCTGCACAGTCAGTGCTGATTTCCCTTTTTGAACTCAACACTCCAGAGTTTACAATGCTATTGGGTGCTTTACCAAAAACATTTCAGGATGGAGCCACAAAGCTGCTCCATAATCATCTCCGGAACACAGGAAACAGTGGTCAGGTATCTGCACCTCTCTCATGATTCTTTCTAAAGTTGCTGGTGTTTTGAACATAAGTCCATTTCAATACATTATTTGTGAGAGCAAGGAGGTTGGTAGAGGGGGCAACCCAAAGTTTATGTAGAAGCCTGTCTTAGTAGCAGGTATCACTCTTTATGAAATAACCTTTTTTTCTCCAGAGAATGACACTTCCTAAGTCTATGTTGCTTCCAAAGTGACTTACTAAGTTTGAATGTTTATAGATATATGTTATAGTTTCTATTTTACTTTATATATTTCAAAGTTATACCTGATTGAAGTTACTAGTAATTGGTTAGCCAATCCAAGAAATTAATTGGAAGCTCTTTAAAAGTTTCTGGGTAGCAGAAAATAAATACAATAATAAGTTAAAAGGTAAGCTGAAGTCCTACTGGAGTATTTCTTCTCACCTTTCCTCCTCCAGGGGTCAGTGGGAAGTCCTTTAACAAGACCCACTCCACGTTCCCCAGCAAGTTGGTCAAGTCCTCTCACTTCCCCAACCAATACATCACAGAACACTTTGTCACCAAGGTAATGTAGGCTGGTCTTCCTGCTGTTCTGCCTCTAAGGCTTCGTTACGTTTTATCCAAAATTGTAGCCCCGGCAGTGAAAGCAAGGAGGGAATTTTGCAGAAAGTGACAGGTGCTGAGAAATCCCCTTCCCTCCACAGAATGACAGAATGGTGAGCTGCTTGGCCTTGATGAAGGGTCTGACAAGTGCCTAGGTCATCAAATCAGACTTAATATTGGGGAGACAAAAAAAGTAGTAGTTCATAAATATTCTGATCTTCAGTTTTGTGGTAGCAGTATTGCCAGTGGAGTGGGCTTTGTCATTTTCCTTTTAGCAATCAGCTTACAGTGAGAAATGTTGAATTACTACTGTCTTTCTTGCTTTGGAACTTTTTTCAGAAAGAGAGAACAGTGTAAAAATCCCAGTTGTTTTATAGAGCAAAAGAAGTTTGTTTCTTCAGTCAGGTGCTACAACATAATGCAGCACTTGCCTTGGCTAGCTTCTCCCAGTGCTTTGTCAGTGGCAGTACACTTACTAAGATGTACCATCATACAGTTTTGTTATGTGGGGAGCCAGCTTTCTTCCTTAGTGGGTTTCAAGAAAAATTATTATTTTCTTGATATTATTTAAAAATATGGGGTCACAAAATAAATGCATTTTAATGCCTATGTCCATCTCCGTGGTCCACAGTGCATTTGACTATGACACTGAAAATATGAATTCTGAAGATATTTACAGCTCTCTTCGTGGAGTCACTGAAGCCATTCAGAATTTCAGTTTTCGTAGTCAGGAAGACATGAATGAGCCTGTAAAACGAGATTCCAAGAAAGATGATGGTGATTCGGTGAGTATTTAAACCTTAATATCAGCAAATCAATCCAATGACTGGTTTATTACAGATGATAAAACATCTTTTTCAGTATGTTTCTATGTTATGACTTCCCAAATGGGACCTTTCTCCTACACTATTTTAGAGCTTTAGAAAAGTATGTTCCTAATCTTGAACCACAATTTGGAAATGTGAATACCAATTCTAAATAGCACCAGCTGTTTATTTTAAATTTTAACAATGTAAAAATAGGTTGTCTTGCACAACAGCTGGAGTTAATTTTTTTAGATGTCTGCACCTCAATATCAAAGGTTTTATTTTATTCCATAGAAAACCTGTGGGTTTTTTCATGCTACATGCAGTGTCTGAAACTTCTGTTTCTATAGAACTTTGTATTTCAGATTTGTTGAGCTTGCCAAATATGTATATGCTTAAACATGTTTTTAGTTACTTGGCGTCAGGCTACTGAGGTAAAATACTGACAGGTATTTCTCCTTCATGATTTTTTTTTATATATATATATATATATATACACACACTTTCCTTTTTTTAAGGAAAGCAAAGTTCAGAGAACTGTTTATAAGGCATCTTACTTGGAGACTAGTCTGAATTTCTTGACATTTGCAGGTTTTTGCCAAGTAGATGAATGAATAATGTAGTTAATTGAAAAGGGGAAGGGTGTATTCCTTGTGCTCATCCAATATTTCTTCTCCTGCAGATCTGCAGTGCTTCTGGAATAGTAGACCTACGAGCAGGCAGTGGTGTGAGCGATACAGGCCGAACAGCTCTTGACAACAAAACATCATTACTCAACACGATGCCCCCCCACTCCTCGCCACGCTCACGAGACTATAACCCCTACAATTACTCTGACGGCATCGGCTCGTTTAATAAATCTGCCTTGAAAGAAGCCATGTTTGATGATGATGCAGAGCAGTTTCCTGATGGTAAGCTCCAGATTGAGTTCTGTGCTGGAAGAAAAATTGGTGAGGTTTTCCAACTTCAGTTCAGTTTCTGAAGTTATTTTTATCTATACATGTATCACCAGTGATGCTTCTTTGAGAGGTGTTTACAACTGCTGTGCTTGAAATTAGTTTGTTACTAACACTTTTGAGTGACATTGTTGGAGTGCTTCTTATTTGTAGAGATTAAGGATAAAATGGAGATAAACACTGGATTATATTGTATACTTAGTAGCGCATCCTGGGCCAGTATTGTCAATATAAATTTACTTATCAGATTGCTTTATGATTGGAACTTAAGGGAAAGAAAAAGATGTACAGCGAGGAAGTCAAACTGGATCAAACCAGTTTGGGAATTAGATGAAAGATTAAGTATTTTGTTAGTTAATATATGTTAATATGTTTGTATCTGAAACATCACATTGGTGTTTTCTATTGACTAAACAATCTTTTCCAAAAAAAGGCAAAAACCCCCCTCACAAAATCAGGAATGTAGTTCTTTTAGCCCATGTAAATGTAGAAACTTCGGCTGTTGTTTTGTAGACTCCTGGAGCTTCTTTTTAGTATTTCTCAGTGTATCTTTGGGTAATTTTTTTATCTCTGGAACATTTTCTGGAACATCACCACTATCCTTATTTATAAAGTAGCAGGTGATTTTCATAACATGGTGTTCACTGTTGATATTTCATATTCAGTTACAGATTAAAAGCAGCTTTTAAGGAAAAAAATTCTTAACAGTGAGTGACACGTGGATTTTCCCTCTTCTGTTTTGCTTCTGTCATCAAGCAAAGATGTGTTACAGAAACTATTGAAAAACAAAGCTGTTTTCTGACCTGGTGGTTTATTCAGCTAGTCTATATGTTGGCTTTAAGTTTACATTAAATTAAAAACAAATCCAGGCACAATGCATTTCTCTTTGCTTTCTCTTCCTCTGAAAAAGATTGCAGGGAAAGCAATTTTTTACAAATCTTGTAATGTAAATATAAGTCACTAATACCTTTGTCATTCACGTACAGAACCAGTTTATGCTTCAGATTCTGTATTACAGGGAAACTGTTGTTACATGAGTTAAGTCTCTTCATACCTTCTGACAATGTATTTCTGGGTACCGCATTAAACTAAATGCAATCTGTGCTGTGCCAGCATGTTCTGGCATTCAGTTCATCACTGGCTGGAGCAGAAGCATCCTCATCCAGTACTAGTTTGTCCTGTCTGGAGAAGCAGTTCCATGTATCGTTTAAGTCTACTCTTTCATGCATTCATTTTTTCATCATTAGTTTATAGTTATACCATGTGCATTCTGTCATTTTGGTGTTACTTAGCTTATTTGGGGAATGGTGGATAAAGTCATACAGAGGCATAGCAAATATAGACTGGGAAGGCAAATCCACTTGGTTGTCTTCACTATTTTTCAGGAATTCCAGCTATTTCCTCTACTAATGGAGTTTCTTTCCTTCCCATAGTTCCTGCATGGATGCAGCTACTAACTTCTCGTTTTACCCTTTCCCTCCTTATGTGCAAGTTGCCTCTCTTTTTGTTCTGATACTTCCACAGTGAAAATAACTATATTCAAACGGGTATTTTAATTATGTGTCAATGAGTCCCCAAAGTAGGGTTTACTGTATCTGTACTCACAGTTTGGTAGAACAAGTGCAATAGTTATGGTAAAAAAGTAGAGATCTTACTTCTATTAAAGTGATTGTCTATCCTGCTGATCTGTACTAATAGTAACTTGCCTGATGCAATTTCAGTCTGTCCTTTAGGCAGATGTTAATGATCCATTTAGGGAACCTGCAAAGCATATATTAATACAGAGGCAGGAGAGTTCTTGCAGAATAAAGTTCCTGTTTTCGGATGCCCCTGATTATTGATGCAAAACAGAATGCAAATAGGAATGTTAGATACAAAACCAGTGTGATTTTTACTGATGTGTGATTTTAAGATACTTGATAACTTGATATTCAACTTTTACTTATTTCTCTGTACAGGTGCTTTGTACAGTATTTGCAAGTTGTAACATTGAATGCAGTAGTGCAAGATGTTCAAGGACTGTGGTTTCTCAGTATATTACCTAAAAAATTTGTTACAGAAAAATGTATTTCATGTGGTAATCAAGTGAATAATTTTGGGAATTTTTGTGTCACACTTAAACACTTTTTTTCTGGAATCATTTGAGTTTCTGGTAATTTATCCAAAAGTCTCAAGGCAAAGGTGGAAGCTATTTGGTTTTCAGGTTCCATCCTGAAATAGGTCTTGATGATGGAATAGAGGCAACAACCTCTTATTCAGTTTTCATTAAGACCATATTCCTCTCTGTTTCCAGATTTCCATTTGCAGTGTTACTAACATGGTTTTCCATCATCATGGAGTCCTTTCTAATTAAAACTAAGTTGAGGCCCATCTTGTAATGACTGCAGTTGGGAATCTCTGTGGGACTGACAGCATTGGTTTGCTTCTATTCCAGCAGTTTTGTACCAAGCCCCATTCTTGTGCATTTATTTTTTGCCTGTTTGTCTTAACAGCCTTGCTCTTGCTGTGGAGCCACAGCTTTACAAGAGTCTAAGCAATTCTGTAATACTAACAGAAAAGACAAATTTATCATCTTGGATGGAAGAAAGGTCATATTGGAGAGGTAGCACTTTGTGTATCTGTAAGATTTAAAAGGATGCAGGGTACTTAACATGTCAGGTATTGTAAGCATAAAAATTGTTGCAGTGAATTAGCTTGCAGGGGTGTTTTGCAGTGTCATCATAGTGGGTTTTTTGGTGACTGTAAGCTTGTTTGGCCATGTTGGCTGCCCTGAAAACGTAGTATCCAAATTGCACATTTTCCAGACAAATTTTGGGAAAAAGTAAAAGCAGGCTAGAAACCCATCCTATAAAATATCCTTCTGTTGTAAAACAAGTACTAATATTTATTGGTAATTATCTGAAAACAGTGTTTCTGTATTACTTTTTGGCAGAGCCTCCCTTGGACCATTCTGATCTGGTTGCAGAGTTACTGAAAGAGTTATCAAACCATAATGAGAGAGTTGAGGAAAGAAAGGCTGCCCTGTATGAGCTCATGAAATTAACTCAAGAAGAATCTTTTGGTGTTTGGGATGAGCACTTCAAAACAATACTACTTTTGCTGCTTGAAACACTTGGAGATAAGGAGGTAAATTCAGATTAATCCAGTTAAGGATGTTAACAAAGCACAAGTTTTGTTTTCATGATCTTTGAAATTCGTATATGTTGTAGGAAGGGCATGAACTCTAGTTTTGAAAAACAAAAATCCCTGGTAGTACAAAAATGTCATGAAGTCTGAGTGTCTTCATGATGAAATAATACTTTCTCAAGTATTCTTATTTTCAACTTTCATACAATAGATTAAAAGAAATCTTTTTTCAATAGGATTCAAATGTTATCTGTTAATAGCCCTTGGTGGCATCTGGAGTAGCAAAATGTGTGGTAAAGCATTTTAAAATACATTTCTAAAATACGGTAATGCTTATTGTGAAGGGTCTTGAGTTCTTTGCAATTGTTCTCTCCATGGCCCATGTTTTTTAAATTAGTGTTAAAAAATATGTCTGTTTAAAGATAAATAACTGATTTATTTTGATATTAAATCTTCAGCATGCAATTAGAGCTTTGGCACTGAAAGTCCTAAGAGAAATTCTAAGGAACCAGCCAGCGAGGTTTAAGAACTACGCAGAGCTCACAATCATGAAGACATTAGAAGCGCATAAGGATCCTCATAAGGAGGTTAGTGGCCAGTTACTCTATTTGAGTTTACAGCAAATTATTATGAAACAAAACAGCTGTCCAAAACCAGCTTGATAAATTAGTTCTTACTGAGGAAGTGATTTGTTCAATAATTAAGCATTCAGCTGTTATTAGTTAACAAGAGTATGCAAGAAAAAGATGGAGTTTTATAAGTTCACAAATGCTGAATGTCAGTCCTAATAACAATTGCCTTCAGTGCTGTTCAAAAGGACATTGTTGGCAACTGTGTCATAGCTCTTCAAGGAGTGAACTGAAGGGAGTTTTTTCCTTGTATGACATCTTAAGCCAGATACAGGTGTCCTGGAGCTGTACAAGAAGATTTTGGATTTCACTACGGTTCATGGTTGATAGATGGGACTGAACAGGGCAAGGAATTGTCAACCCTTTCCACTTTTAGGCAGCTCTGTATCATTCGAGAATATGACTTTGAATGTTGTTAGGGGATGACACACAGGAACGCATTAAAGTGAGGAGTTGGTTGTGGCTGAAAATAGTGAAGGGATTGAGGAGGGACTCTAGTCTTGCTCAGAAGTATTTGTGATGAATGCATACACAGTAAAGGATAATGCATGTAGACAGAAGAAATAGGAATACAGTAATGACCCAAATATTAAGCAGTACACATCAATGTCACCGATACTTTGGAAATAATAAGTTGTGAATTCTCTCTGTGCTCACGTTGTATCCTGAACTTCTAATTCCTATTGACTTCCTGCCTAATTATTCCTGTTCTGCTTGTTATACATATTCTTCATGCTTAAAGGACTGTCTTGTCATAGTTTGTTTTATGTTGGAGAACAGGAAGAGCAGCTAGTTGACTTCTAGAAGTAGCAATCTAGGCATGCCAATAAACGTGTGATTGAGATTTATGTGAAAACATGTCTTGTCAGCGATGGTAACTAGCCTAACAAGCAATAACAAATGACAACACAAGGAATTACAGTAATTTACAGAGGTGGTGATAATTTGAAGTATGTCGGAAGAGTTGGATTTTCGAAGGGCTCTTCCTTCAAGTATTTCTAAAATATTGCTGAGGTCTTCATAGAAATTTTTTGTACTGAACACCATTACTGCCAGATAACAGACCACAGTAACAGTCTCTTGTAAGTAATCTTTTCATGTCTTTGACTTAATCTTTCAACAGGTGGTGAGATCTGCTGAAGAAGCTGCCTCCATGCTCGCCACTTCCATTAGCCCAGATCAGTGCATCAAAGTTCTTTGTCCAATTATCCAAACTGCAGATTACCCCATTAATCTGGCTGCAATCAAAATGCAGACAAAAGTCATAGAAAGAGTATCTAAAGAAACCCTTACTCAGCTTTTACCAGAGATTGTGCCAGGTCTAATACAGGTAAGAGAGAAGGGAGAATGAAAAGGGGAAAGGAAGGAATCAAAAAAAGGAAGCTACATATAAAAATGCAAAGACTTATTAAAAATAATACCATCACTTGTCTTTCATGAGGGATTATATTTGTCTGATAGCTGATGGTGGCTTTGACCCAAAATAACTCAGATAGGGGAATAAACTCTTTGATTGGCAGGTAACTAAATTGTATCTTTGGTTAAGAATTGAAGGAAATGTCAGTATGACATTAAAGTATTGGTTATAGATAAGTTTAGTAAATACTTTTAGTTATTAAATGTTTTAGTTTGTTGTTTATTGTATCTTTTTCCAGGTTGTAATAATTCATTCTGAAATTGTCCACATTGTATTTGAGTATAATTGTAGGGTTTTATCACTTGAGGTTAGGGGGAGACATGAAGCCATTGTTTGGGGAAAGTTTAATAAAATGAGATTTGCATTCTGCAGATTTCTGTCTTTAACAGCTGTGATCCAGCCACATTATCTGCAGGAAGGCTGAGGCAGAGAAGGGGCCCTTTCAAAAGGAGGTGTTAGTGTGACAGCCAGGCATGGGGTTCCTAGGAAGCTCTAAATTGTGTGGTCTTCTGCTTTAAGTGGATATCTCTATAATCTAGAACAATGTCTGTGTGCTACCCTATTGCATGACAGCAGCTCTGTTTCCAGTGTAACTTATGAACAGGATTGCGTGGGTTTCAGTCTGGAAAATGATTATCAATGGTGATTAATAAGCAGCCTGTGTTTTAAGTGCATGCTCTGTATTTGCGTGTTTGTTTTTTCGTTGGAACGCTTAACTAGGCTACACTAGCATTCATTTACTGTAGACTTTGATGTATTTATTATAGTAAATAAGTAAATAGCTTTCTGAGGTTTTTAATCATTAACTGATATGGTATTAATGTTAATTTTATTGCTTTCTAGGGTTATGATAATTCAGAGAGCAGTGTTCGTAAGGCATGTGTTTTCTGCCTTGTAGCCATTCATGCAGTAATTGGTGATGAACTAAAACCACATCTCAGTCAACTCACTGGCAGTAAAGTAAGTAAAAAATACCATTTAAAGAAATCTTGGTTCATAGTTGCATGTATGAATTTGCATTTTGGTTGCAATTGCCAGAAAGTTTCATAAAAGTATATACTTTATTGAGAATATAAGGGCTACTGGAACTCTCCAAGGATTCCTGTAACTTTGTCATAAAATGTTGAAAACTGAAAATCCATAGGTCTTTATGCAAGTTTACAAACTTTAGCATTAAGATTAAAAACTATATGATCTTTCTTACTGCTGTTTAATGGCCTTAGTTACTGGTTGTCTCTCTGATAATAATGATAATGGCTATATTCAGCATGGCTTTTCCTGTCAGTGTTCATTGTCTTGTTTTTCATGCAAATTCTGATTGGAAACCTGTAAAAGTAATATGTAGATGTTACAACAGTTTTATTTGTTCTTCCTCCCTGTTATTTTGCTTTCAGCAGTCCTTCCGTTACCTCCAGTTTGAAATAATAGTAATCAGTCTGGTCCTTTTTGGTTCAGGATATTTATGATTTTATTGACATCTCTTATACCTAGTTTTTTGCATACAAACAGATGTTATCTTAATTGCAGATCTCTATCCTTGGGAATAAAACAGGACAATTAATTTTGTACATCTTTGAATTAAGACAGTATTCTCTCGCAGTACTTGTATTGAATATTATTCTAGACAGTATTGGAAGCCTTAGTAAGTAGCAGCATCAACAACTCTAACTAGAGAATGAAAACCTCAACATCACCCTAAAAGAAAAAAAACCCAACCAAACACGACCTTGTTTAGAACAGCATTGTAATTTAAGGAAACTATTCCATCTATCTTAATCTAGCTACCTTTGATTTTTTTTCTTAACATCCTTAAAGAAGCTTGAGTAGCTTCCTTGTGAAAAATTTTGCTGTGTTTATTTTCCTTGGCAAGTATGTTACCTTTGAATCAACTGTGTAAAATACAATTTTTGAGGGGGAAAATAAAATTATTTACTGTCTCCTTTGCTGTACTATTCCTGTAGTCTGTATAATTTGCAAATACTAAATACAGTGAATTTCTGGCTTAAATTTGCAGATGAAATTATTGAACCTTTACATCAAACGTGCACAAACAGGCTCTGCACCAGGAGATACAACAGCAGATTTGTCTGGACAAAGCTAATGAAGCTGACAAGAGTTAACCAGGTCTCCGAAAGCAAGGGCAAGGCCCTCTTCATGAAAGGAAAATTCATACAAGTTTCGGAATTTTTTTCTTGGTTTTTTCCCCCCCTTTCTTTTGTTGTTTTGTTTTGTTTTTTCCTTTAACCAGTGGCTGTCCTCAGCCTGCATGTGACTGTTGCAATAGAATTATTCCAAATCCAAGGAAAAACAGTATTAACATCAGTTGATCAAAGCAGAATAAAATTTTAAAATAATCTAATCCATCAGTTATCCTGTTCACAATCCTCTGTGTCTTCCCATTAACTTTTGCCAGTGTTATTATATTAAAAAAATAAATTTTTTAATGCTAATTAAAAAGGTATGCTTTAAGCTTCAGAAGTTAAGATATAAATTCTGTTGCTTTTATTCAGCTGCAGATAACATTACTTTTTTATTGCTGTTTTGTTTGAGTATCATGTCCTTCGCTAGAAGCAAGAAGTGATGTGAAACAAGGCTGAACTAGTCTGAACTGCAGTGAGACTTGTTCCCTGTGTTGGTGGTTCATCATCTTACTTACAGCTTGTTTGGGATATTCTGGAGATTGAGAAATATGCCTATAAAAAAAAAGCTGGATTGATCCAGTTCTGTAAAAGTGGTATTGTTCATTGGTTGTATGTTTGTTGCATAAATAAGAATTTAGTGTGCGCAGTGGAGGACCTGGTACAACCAGTACCTCTTGGTGTGGAAGACAGCCCTTTCCAGGGTAGCACTGCCGACCTGGTGATAGGTAGTGTGGCAGTCTGCTTTGTAGCAGCAGAGTTAATGGTCACTTGATGGACCTGAACCATCCTTGTCACCTTTCGTTCTTCAAGCAGGATGCTTCGGAATGGAGTGCTCTGCCCAAGCATGCTCAGTATGTATTTATCTTTATCACTAGAATGTTTCCTCTCAACCTAATTGCTGAAACAAGTAGTCTTGTATTGTAACTCACATGGGATTTTATGACAACAGTGCAGAAAACTATTTATTCCTTATCTTCCTGAAAGCACCAAGATTTTCTGCATTTAATTTAAACAGGGGGGTAGGGGAATAGTCACAAATGCTATGGATCTTGCCACCTTTAATTTAAAAAAAAAAGATATATATTTTGGATTAGTTGGGAAAGCTGCACCAAATTATTTGCATGGTTTTCTTGAATAGCATCCTCAAGACCCATCTGGATTAAGGTGTGGAAATGTTTTCAGGGTTTGTTTTTCCATTTTTGAAAAAGAGTTAGTTTATTGTGAATAATGGTTCTTTGTATTTATGAAATTGATAATGGAAAGAGAACAAAGATCAAGTAAGTGTGTCCCTGAATGTTGTCTTTTTCTTTTTCCCTTTTTTTTTTTTTTTTTTTGGTCTTGGATATAAGCAACTTGCTGATTAACTGAGAACTGGCATGAAACAGTGCCCTTCCCAGGAATGGTGGAATTTTTCTTTTCCTGATCTTTTTTCTCTTGACTGTGATGCTGTCTAGTTGTAGGAAATATATCCTGATAAGAGAGAAAATAGCGGTGCCAAGGATGATGATCTATGCTAGGCTAAAATTCTCTCTACCTCTTCCGGGTGACTAATTTTTGACTGAGCTGCTGCATATAGCACCCGATGGAAGAACTATCTACAGAATTATTGGTTTGTTTTTTGTTTTTTTTCCAATTTACCACTTAATGTGTATGCAAAACTCTACTCTTCAACGTTGCAGCCAAATATCGTAAGAAACTACTTATACACTTTTACTTGCTTGGAACCCTGAAAAACAAAACTGAATAAAAATTGTCAGATGCTTGTAGTTACATGAAAGGTTGTTTTCACTTTAGTTTGAAGTGAATGCAATAGAAAGGAGCTAATATGTGGTTGTTAAAGAAGCAGAGATTTATTTGGAGGAAGAGTTGTAGAAATATATGTAAAGACTTAAAACCAAGACTGTCATAACTTGTCGCTAGCCCTTTATAGCAGCTCCATCAAGAAAATAGTATCTCCTGTTTCTTTCCTTTGTTACGTGTAACATCTTTGTTGTTTTCTACTGTTTAATTACATTGTGTATTTATAGTTCTATGCTTACCATTGTGCATATACTGGCAATAAAACATGTACATAACATTACTTTAAAAATTAGCAATGTATACATTCTGGCTTTCCATTTTATTTGATCACATGCCATAAGAAAAATTATAAATGTGGTTGATACAATATTGGTTAAAAAAAAACAACACAAGATCTTCATGTTTTCTGTGTCCAAATGATGTTTCTTTGTATACTTCTGTTGCTAAATTTGACTTGGCATTTGAGAACATGCTGTGATAGACAAAAATGTTTTTAATTTAGTAGAATCTTTATCAACACCCAGTTTCCTCCACCTAGGCAGGTTTCCTGATTACTGGTTCATTTATTTGCATATTATACATTGTTTGAATTTTATTTTTTAATATTTAAAAAATATTTTTCTGTCCACAGTCTTTTCGTTTACATTTTGATTATACAAAAGGTCACTTTAAAAAAGTGTTGCACAAGCTAAGCTTAATAGTCCCATATGTTCTTCCTGCTTTTTCTACCGGTAGTGTTTATTTTCAGAGGATCATTTGAAGGTGACTGCTGTTTGTTGTCTTTTTGAAAAATTTATTTCATACTGAAAAAATAATTGATTGAAACATATATTCTGAATGAACCTAGTTTTTTATGTGTAAACAAAAGTTGGTAAGAAAGACATGTTTTTATCCCCTATATGACTGAAAATACTTGCTCCAGAGAGATGGGCAGGAAGAGTTTGTTCCTCAGATTTGCTGTAAGCCATCTTTAAGTGTTCTGTATCAAAAAACTAAGTGCAATATATTTAAATTATTATTTCATTTGTAACATAACCAGTTCTGTATCCAACAAAGATGGGGGCTGCTCTAGTGGATACAATCTGTTTATATTACATAGAGCCATCAAAATATAAGAGTCTGCAACAAAATTATTTCCACTGCAGCCAGTTACCAGATTCACTGCCTTGCTTTTTTCCTTTATTGCCTATTCTATAATAGACATTAGCTCAGTTAAACTCAAGCAATGATCATTCATGCCCTATGTTCCTGTGGGAGGTGTTTTCTCCAACAGAGTACCATAAAGATCTTGGAAAAATTGGGACCATTGTAAGTTGCTGTTCTTTCAGAAAGGGTTTCTTGGTGTTCTTTCTAGTATTTTGTAAAGACAGGTCGTTGCAACCATTTGAATACTGAATGTAATTCTCAAAGGTTGGGTTTGCACTTAGAGAGGAAGAATGAAAGAAAGGCACCTGCCAAATGAGGAAAGGAATGCGTGTCTTGGATGTCTCTGACTTGGATGTCATTTGCTCTAAAGAATTTTGAGTATCATATTATGTTCAGCTGAAGTCTTAGGAAGAAAGTTGGAAGAGTAAATGTAAATTGAAAGGAGAGCTGACTGTGTAAATTTTCCTGAGTTTGGTTGCTTGCTTGTTTTTGAGGATAAAGATTGGAACAGATTGAGTTGTGTTTATTATTTATGGTCTAAATCCCAGAAAAAAAGAACAAAGATTTGTACCCTGAAACACCTCAATATCCTTAGTAGCTTCTATGAATTTTTAGATGTTTCAATTAATTCACAAACACACCCATGTATCTAAAGCCTATTAAGAATGAAGTGCTGAACTGCTCACAGTTTAATTTTCAGCAAAAGAATTCAAATTCTGATTATGACTTTGTCCATTTCAAAATAATAAAAGAGAAAATAATCTTGAGGAATACATTTGTTGAGTTATGCTACAGTTACTCCCTATGGTAGAGTAGTGAGAATGGTTGAGCTGGCTGTGGTAACTTTCACTTCATCAGGTTGGGATTTAGCAAACACAAACAGAGAACACAATAAACATAATTATGATGGGGATAAATGGGTAGTTTGGGAACTGGAGGATTATCTGCAGAAAGAGCTGAGGTTTTCTCCCAATTAAAACAGTAAACTAATCAGTTTGGTAGTTGCAGTCTGCTCCCATGTAAGATGAAAGTCAACACCCATATTAGCTTCTCTAAAGAAAACTGCTTATTTTCCCCCCTTAATCTTGTAATTGAGTCTTCCAGCTCTTCAGAAGCACATACTTTAAAGATATGCTCATTTGTTTTAAATGTTCTCTTAAACAGATTAAAATTTTTCATTCTTTGTTCTTAAAAGATTTTCAATAATGTGGAATGTTTGAAAAACTATTTGTGCTAGTCTGGCAAGTGAAAAAATCAAACTTAATTTACTTTTTTCCCCCCCCTATATTGTGTATATGTTTGTATATTTAAGTACATTTTAAGACCTCAGGGTTCCCTGAGCCTGGATTATCCCAGTTAAAGAAGCTTCTTCATTTGCTGACAGGATTTTAGGGCAATGAGAACATTCCCTACTGAGGAAAGTTTGCTAACAGGTCATTTCTGCTTGGACAGAATCACAACTATGTTTGTAAATTGCAGTTAAACAGTAACTCTTGGAAACTTCCAGATGGTATTTTGCAAGCAGTTTTGAATACTGTATGATATCTGTAAAATTAAAAAAATTCTGTAACTCTTGATGTATTGTAGGTAGCCACAGATGATCCTAAAGAAGCATGTTGTGAGGCAAAATAGTATTTTGATGCTGGCAAAAGTGAACATCTGTCCTGAGCCTTGAGGATCTGCCTGTATGAGGGGGAAGGAACACAAAATACCATTTCTTAGCACAACTTGTTTAGTCTGAGCATATGTAGTTCATGTTAAAATACCAGGGAAGACAAGGAAACTGATTTCAACTTCATTTAAACAGCTGAAGTACAAGCCTGTGGGAGGAACTGGGTGTGGCTGTTTCAGTTGGAATTACATATTAGCGTGTTTTAAAATGCTTAATCTATCTGCTAATCTGAATATACTTGAAATGTAACTGTAATGGTGTGGGAGGGCAGAAAGCTTCTGATTTGTTAAGAGAGAAATTTCTGGCCAGATATTTTTTGTCTTTTTAACACAACTTAAACTGATGTGGATAAAACCTATTTACACCACACTAAATGTCAATAGAGATGGTTGTATTTTATGTAGAGAAATTCTGAGGTGCTTGATACAGTTTTTGATCTCTCAGATGTCAGGTGTGGCCATGTTTGCCAGCTAATCAATTATACTGTTTTTCCCAGGTGAAATTACCCATTTTCCCTAAGGGATTTTCAAGCATCACTATTTATATAGTCTGCTTTTGCTTAAGAACAGAAATTTTAATTGCATGTTGACTGATCAGA